TCAATCTCTCCTTGTTGTATAGCTGAGCTTTTCAAACAGTTTTAACAGTTACTTTAGTCTGACAAAAGCCGAATGACGAATTAGCGCTTCCAGTCAGAGACAGAGCTGCACTACGGAGCTTCTATGGCTCTTCCGTTCAACAATATCTCCGGCGTTGGAACCATCATCTGTTTTCTCTTCGGTCACGCTCGGTTGATGTTTCTCTAGTCGGCACACTCATTTCCTCCATTACCCGGGTGGTACGGCGGCTGGCTGCTTCCCAAACAAACACACGTGCAGCTTGGCACTTGTGCTGTACGTAACAAGTCACATGACGCGACGCTGCGGCTGTGATTGGTTCGGCTCTGCGTTACCTAATTTGGATTGGCTGTTCTTTTTTTTTTTTAAAGGGGACAAGAGAGATGAGGTCTATCGCAATAGTTTAATTTTTCTATCGAGAAAAAGTTATTTCGCAACACATTTCGTTCTATCGCCCAGCTCTAGTTGTAGGGGATAAATAAAGTCTTTCTGATTCTGCTGCACTAGCTGTCAGCTTTGATTTACCAGAACAAAGTCTTAATTATTATTTTAAACAATGTTAGTTTATGATCAAATATATATAGAAGATGAAGCACTCTGTTCCTTATTTACCAAAAAGTCTCATTAAAGAAGTCGACCAATCAGCAGAGCCCTGAGGAGTAGCTGTGCCAGCAAATATATTCATCTGTACTGATCAGTGAGTGTCAGCAGCTTCTTATTAACAGCTCAGAGTGATGATGATGATGATAGAGAGCTCAGTGAAGAACATACCCAGCTTATGTTAGATAGAAAACACAAAATACCTCATTACACTGTCAGTTATTAAATTCATTTCCAGCACTTTTGTGTCTCATAAGAAACATTATTTTATCGTATCAGGTTATCACAGATCCATCAGCTGCTCTTTGATTTCACTGATTCATGCTGGATTCACACAAACAGCTGTTTCACTCACCATAGACATGGAGAGTCACTGATTTCTGCAGCAGCTTGTCTCCATCCTTCTTCTTGACGGTGCAGGTGTAGACTCCAGTGTCAATGAGGTGGCGGTCTTTCAGGGTCAGACTGAGGTCTTTGGTTCTCAGTGGATCTTCATTCATCTCTGTGCGACCTCTGTAACTCTGGTCTTGTTTATCTGGCTGATTCTTTCCACTCTCATACACGTGGACCTTCTTGTTATTGGAGTCTGTCCACTCCACTGTGACGTCCTGAGGAAGGTCAGCTGTGGTTTTCAAGGGCAGCTCGATGCGCACCGCGTCTTTTGCCACCTGCACAATGTCTGGCACACTCTCTGTAAAGAGACAGACAGACATGAGTGAGGTTAATGGTCCATCCTGTCCTCTGCTGTGTAACCAGCAGCTGCTGTTCTCAGTGTTGTGTGTTGATGTGTGAGGCTGCACAAACAGCTGGACACACTCACAGGTTTACACATGCAGGGATTCCCACTGTGGACAACCAGCTCACACGTAACACTCACCTCTGACTCTGAGAGTCACTGCTTTCTGTAGCAGCATGAGTCCATCCTTGTTGTAGACGGTGCAGGTGTAGATTCCACTGTCAGTGGGGAGGGGCTTTTTCAGGGTCAGACTGAGGTCTCTAGTTCCCAGTGGATCTTCCTTCATCTCTGTGCGACCTCTGTAATCCTGGTCTTGGTTGTGTGACTGATTGTTTTCACTCTTATACACGTGGACCTTCCTCTCTGTGGGTTCAGTGAGTGTCCACTCCACTGTGACGTGCTGAGGAAGGTCGGCCGTGGTTGTAAAGGGCAGCAGGACAGACTCGTCTGCATCTGTCGCATTCACCACCTCTGGCGGAGGAACTGAGAGAGAACAGAAGAACACAGACAGATAAAAAAGCTCACTGTTACTGTTCCATGATGATGAGACTAAATATTCCCACTGTGTGCACTGCTGAGAAAAAAACACAGAGAAATTCAGCACTATCTGTGATGGTTTCTATGCTACAAATGCTAACCAATCATGTCTTTGCATGTTCTCCTGCCAAAGCTTTGCTGGACCTATTACTGTCAAACTGAAAACAAAGCAATACAAGCTCTCTGGACATATTCTGAAAAACAGCATTTGAGAATGAAACCAGTAATGGGGGTTACAACTATGTGTGGTAGCAAAAAGATGATGATACAAAGACCGTCATATCCAGACATTTGGTTATCTTAAAAACAATTAAAATAAAGAACAGCACCCAAGAATCTGTCTGGTTGGATCTTATTCATGGAGGATTCCCACTGTGGACAAACAGCTGTTACACTCACCACTGACAATGAGAGTCACTGATTTCTGCAGCTTGTGTCCATCCTTGTTGTAGACGGTGCAGGTGTAGACTCCACTGTCAGTGAGGTGGAGGGGTTTCAGGGTCAGACTCAGGTCTCCAGTTCTCAGTGGATCTTTCTTCATCTCTGTGCGACCTCTGTAACTCTGGTCCTGTTCATCTGGCTTATCTTTTCCACTCTCAAACACGTGGACCTCCATGTAGTTGGAGTCTCTCCACTCCACTATGACGTCCTGAGGAAGGCCAGTTGTGGTCTTAAAGGGCAACTCGACAAACTCCTTCCCCTGTAGCACCTCCACCACCTCTGGCAGCAGAGCTGAGAGGAGAACATGAGGTTTACAGACAGACATGAGTGAGGTTGATGCTCCATCCTGTCCTCTGCTGTGTAACCAGCTGTTCTCAGTGTTTCTCTGACTTGGAGCTGAACTGATGTGTTGATGTGTGAGGCTGCACAAACAGCTGCTTTCCTATGTCAAACATGCAGGCAGTAACTTTGAATTATAACAAGCTTTTATTTAATCTGTGAAAGTTGTGCATGAATTAGTGCTGCAGTATGTTGTAATGTGTCAGCACTTCTTTAGAGACATGAAGGAGACTTAAACTAATTCAAGGATAACTTCAGGCTGCTACTGATGGTCTGCAGAGATTCCAGCAGATATTAGTTAAAGCCAGTCACACTGTAAGTAATCAATTTATTCATGAAGCGCTGTCAGACAACTCCCAGCTGCAAGCAAAGTTCTGACATGACAAACAGAAAACATCCATCCATTCGCTTCCACTTCGCCCTTTCAGGGTCGCGGGCTGCTGGAGCCTATCCCAGCTGTCATAGGGCGAGAGGCGGGGCCCACCCAGTCTGTCGCAGGGCTAACAGACAAAGACAGGCAGCCATTCGCACTCACATTCACTCACAGATTCACAACTATGGGCAATTTAGATTTTTCAATGAATCTCCACAAACTGCATGTCTGTGGGCTGTGGGAGGAAGCCGGAGGACACGGGGAGAACCCACACAAACACAGAAAGAGCTGATGGTGGAGTTGAACTCGGGACCTTCTTGCTGTGAGGCAACAGTGCTAACCACCGTGCCCAAAAAGAAAGAAGAAATCAAAAAGAGGTAAAATTAAACGGAAACAACAAAACCAGCACATTAGATCAAATTAAAGCAGTAAAATGAGAAGATGTGTTTTAAAAGTGGACGTGTCTAATGTGCTGATTGTTCCAGAGATTAGGAGCAGCAATGGAGAAGGCCCTGTCCCCTCTGAGCTGAAGATAAGATAACCTTTATTAGTCCCACATGTGGGAAATTTGTTCCTCTTGGACCTGGGTACCTCCAGGAGCAGCTAATCAGCTGACCTGAGAAACCTGGGGGTGGTCAGGGTGGGGCAATTTAAAAACAAACAGAATTTTAAGAGGAACTCTAACATATACAGACAGCCAGGATGGGACTTGAACTGGGAGTTCCAGTTAAAAGTTGTGCAGCAGCATTTTGTATCCTGATAGAGACGCCAGCAGTCCTTTAAGGTTAGAAGAGACACCTGAAGTTTGCCCCTCGTCCATCTGCGTTCAGCTCTACGACACTCACAGCCTGCATCGTGTCACTACACCAAGGCTCGGTTTTAGCCTTGGGCTGCCTGGTTTTCAGTGGCGCCACAGAGTCCAGGATAGTTTGGCAAGAAGATTGAAATCAAATCTGACAGCGGCGAACAGCAGCGCTGGTTTGAACTGCAGTGTGTGAAAACACAGCATCAAATAATACAGCCAGAAGGCAGCGTCAGACACTTCCACGTTAGACACAGGCAGACTGTGTGACAGGACCAGGTCTAGTGTGTGTCTGTGTTCGTGTGTGGGACCAGGTACAGACTGGACCAGATTAAAAGAGTCAACAAGGCTTAAAAACTCCTTCACCAGAGGTTTGTCAGGACAGCAGACATGTACATTAAAATCTTAATGTAAAATAAGATGAAAATTAAAATCTCCCACAATAAGAAGATGATCGTAGTTGGGCATAGGCCCAGCTAGGAATCCTGAAAAGTCATTTATGAAGTTCTTATTGTATTTAAGGGGACGATAAATAACAGCAAAGTGCAGAGTTAGAGCGACTGACTTCAAAACACGTGAGCTCAAAGCTGGAAGACGAGGGCTGTAAAACACACTGTTTACATTTAAAATCCTTTTAAAAACAGCCGTACCTCCTCCTCTCCCTGATGTCCTTGGTGAGTTAAAATAGGAACAACCTGCTGGTAAAAGTACTGGACTCACCAGTGTTAAGCCAAGTCTCAGTGACACACATGAAGTCCAGTTTCCAGGAGGTGAATGACTCCTTCAGAATAAGATTTGTTCACCAGCGATCTGTCGTTTACCAGCCCAATCCTGACAGGAGCTGGGGCAGAGGTATGAGCCCCAGCAGCACAGGGAGCCCCACACAGCAGCCTCAGTTTATCAAGGTTCGTCTGGTGCACACTGAGCCGAGGAGGACAGGGGTCACGGAGGAGCGGTGCGTCATCCTGGCCGGCCACGGGGATGAGGCAGGAATCCACAGGGTCCAGGAAACGTCGGTGCACAAAAACTCCACAAAATAATCTGTGTATTATTAGGAAAGCTTGAGTTTAACCAGCCAGCCACTGCGCCTACCCCAATGCCTTCGCTGGGGAGGTAGCATGACAGCACGGCCAGTCGGGATATGTGACAGCAGCGGGCACCAGAAATTCTGACCTCCGTTAGCAAACAGAACTGTGTTTTGATCAGAACTTCAGAGATTTAGCAGCGACTGGCGATCACACCAGTAGAGAGCAGATTTCCTGAGTGTCACGTGACAGGAACAATATAAAAACAAACAAAACTATAAGCCACAGACGAGCAGCCATGGACACCGGCGCCATCTTGATCCCCATTTAAGCTGCAATGAGCTGCTACTAAGTGAAAAATAATATCTGTTGCTACTATGTAACAAACACTTCTGGACTGATTCCCCAGAGCACAGCAGTAAGTGCTGAAAGAAGCTGGTTTGTGAGCTGCTGGTCAAAGTGGAGAGTCAGTAACAGCTCAGCTGTAGAAGAAC